AGTGAGACAAACTATGTTGTAATGTATGTCTCAGTGTTAAGCGGTTAACAAGAAATTAGAACTGAAAATGAGTGTAGCGGAGATGAAAATACTTAGATGGATGAGTGAAGTGATAAGAGAAGATAAAATAAGTAATAAATATCTATCATTTCTATGTGCCCTCTGCTATTATAGTAAAATAAAAGAGCTATAATAGCACTTTGAACCTGTTATTTAAATATACAAAAGAGTTGAATCTCTGCAAAGATCTCCATGCGATGGTGGTGTAATGGTCAGCATAGTTGCCTTCCAAGCAGTTGATCCGGGTTCGATTCCCGGCCATCGCATCTATATTTATTTTTTCGTCATTTGGCGTTTATAAATATACGTATAAATATGCATATGTTTGATTTAAATGATTATATTATATATAAAAAATAATATAAATAATTATTTTCGAAAAATTTGTCATTGTTCAATTATACAGGGTGTTCAGTAAGTTAGGAAACAGTTAAATTGTTACAAACAATGAGTACAATAGAAATTCGTTTCCTTATTTACTGAACACCCTGTATATTAACCCTTAAGCAGGCTCGTTTTTTTTTTTCGTAATATAATTTTTAGTAATTCACATAATTTTTGTAATTTATTAATTTTTAATTTTAATTTTTTAATTGTTATCCATATTTATATATCATATGGTAACGAATAATGTCTTTGAATTAAAAAAAATGAACATTTTTATACATATTTTATTTATTTTTAGAAATGGGGTCTAATAGACCCCCACGTGACTATGGACGTTAAAAATAGGTACGTGCCTGCTTAAGGGTTAATTAAATTTTTATGGAAACATGCACACATACTTTATTGTGCATTAAACATGATTATGTTTAGTAATAATGTTTTTTAAATTTTTAACAGAAATTTTACAAATTAGTTTTTTGACAGTGAATTACTCAAATAAGAAAATAATCAGCACGATTTTCTTCTTTTCATTTTATTGTAAGGGAAAGCGAGTTAAAATGATCTTGTATTAAAGTTTATAAATATATATATGACCTTAATTATAGAACTTATTATTGTCTATAAAAAAGGCATTAACAATTTTTCCATACATCAATTATACTTTGAGAAAAATAATAAAACATGATAAATTTACATAATACTTTTACACAAATTTTTTGTAAAATTAGTATTTCTTAGGTATCATATAACGTAAAAATTATTTAAAAAGTCAACTATTTAATTATTGACTAAAATTAAATAAAAAAAAAAACTTGTATTATATATTATAAAAACATAATTATTTTAAAACTCGCATAACTTAAGGTTCATTTAAGATTAGAATTTGACTTCTAATATGTTTTTTTTAACACGCTTATATTAGTTTCACCTGTATGTTTGTGTGTTTGATTGTTGTATGTTTGTTTGTAACTCTCCACACGCCACGTGTTATTAACCCGTCGCCTATAGCCTTGAGACTAGACTGTCGTAACTCGTTCACCCCACCCCGCACACACGCCGGCAACACTATTCCTGTATAATTTTATTTTTGGTTTTTGTACCCGTTCATACGCGCGTGTCATCAATATTTTATATATATAAACAAATTTTTATTATTAATTATGAGATATAAATATTTAAAGGTTCAATTTTTTTTGTGTTAATATACATGTATGTATGTATAATACGTACAAATACAGGCAGCCTTTATTATAAATAGTAGTAAGACACAGTTGTGAGTTTATAAATACACTAGCTGCCAATACAGAAATTATATTTATTGATAGTCATAAATGACAATAAACACTCCGTGACTGTGACAACGATGTCATAAAAACCTAAAAAGTGAAAAATAAATTTAGTTTAAAAAACTAAAAAAACACGCTTTTAAAGTACATTGAACTAAAAAGTTAAAAATTATTTCAAATAAACTTAAAACAATAATACTAGTATTTTCCGTTCATTATTGTTATAAGTTTATTTTAAAAATTATTTTTAACTTTTTTGTTTGATGTGCTTTAAAAACGTGATAGATCAACGTTTAAAAAATTTGTTGAAATTCCAAACCGCTTAAACATTCCAATTGATTTGAAATTTATCAAATAAGTTGATAGGTCTTTTTCAAGAAAATTGGAGGCATAATGTATGTAATCGATAATTTGTTTTTTATTAGCAAACTAAAATGTTTTGTTATGGGTAGATATACCAAATGGATCACAAAAAAATTTAAAATTTGTTCATGAAATTTAAAATTAATATTTTCTGCAATTTTTTGTTAATAATTTTCATTTTATTAACATTCAATAAAAGCCAAACAATTTGGTACCTAACCTGTCCGTATGCTAAAACCGATACTGGTTCGTCGTGGTGACTCATGGATAAAACTAAATGGTTCTCAAATTTTTTAGTAGATAGTCAGGTAGAAGATTAGTTTGATGGAAATGATACGGTCAATTTTGGCGAAAACGATAATCTCCTATTAAAACATATATGCTGGTATATGATAAAATATATATGATAATCTAAGGATCACTTACTTTATACTTTAACTGTATACCTATCAAGCGTGACAGACAATCTAAATGTTATAAATTCTTTTCTGCTTATTTTACTTATTGATCGACTAGGCTCTAGTGAAAAATGGCTTTCTTCTTCACTGACCATTTCGATATCTTCAGAAGATGAATCGGATCAAGAACTTGAATGTTTTTTTTAATTAAATTATAAATAAATGTTAAATATACGATAAGAATATATTTTTGTTTTTATTAATTACCATCTAATAAAGTTCTTGAGTGAGTAATTTTTTCTCTTTTCTAATTGTGCTAAGTACATATCTACTTCCATCATACAACCGAGACAGCCCTTAGTTTGTTAAAGTCATAAAAAATCAATATCCTCCTGAATCTTCATTAAATTGAATGTATTAGCGTGAGTAATATCAAATAAATCTTCCATTTGACTTACAAAATTGCTCCCTTTTTCTGTATAAGTCAATCGTCCTTGGTTTATTTTACTCTAAATTTCTTAGTCCTTCGTATATATTTTTAATTTTTTTACAATATTAGCTGGATCTTACGTGAGTATACGAGCTTTATTCTAGTGTATAAGGCATTCGTCCACCACAAGCGCCGTGCTCCCATACAAATTCAATTTTACAACTCTTAAATTATAATATAACATGCCTAAACAATTTTTTGTATAGGACAATTTATTTCCAATAATTTAAGAGTTCATGGATCCTACTAAACTCGGTTTGTAAATATATTACAATAACTGTAAAAAACTATTTATGCTAAATTTTGAAAAATTATTATATTTTATTGTTTTTCTCAAAGTATAACTGATATATGAAAAATTTTATTAATACCATTTTTATAGGCAATTATAAGTTCTATATATTTTTACGTTAAGTATAATACTTATCGAGATAAACTCAAAAAAGAAACTACCTCAATTGTCATATTTCAACTTAAATGCAGCACCAGAAGGAATTGAGTAAAACCTTTCAAATTTTGCCTACATTACTTTCTTATACGACTAAACTAATCTAGAGGGTACTGTGTAAAATTTTTTTTAAAAAAATGTTTGCCTATATAAATTAGGAGCACCCTAATATATATATATACATATATATATATTTAGTATTCATAGAATTGTATCCATATTTAATAACATAATACATTTAAGAGTGGCCAGTATATCTTTGTATGATTCAATTATTTTATTAGATTCATAATGAGAATAGTATGATCACAGATATAATTACTAAGTGATCAGATTTTATTAATATTGATTGTATATAAATAAATGATTTGGTACGTGATACTCAAATGACATGGGATATAAAAAAATGTTATGATCATACAATAAAATAAAAATTCATATGTTAGTGAAAGGGTAAGTAAATTTATTTTATCATAGTCGATTTAAAATAGCTTGAGGCCACTGTTACGTCATATGATGTTTTTTAATTAATTAAAATAACAATAATGGATGCGATGGCCGGGAATCGAACCCGGATCAACTGCTTGGAAGGCAACTATGCTGACCATTACACCACCATCGCATGAATATCTTCNAATAAACCCTTTTTCATTCGACATACTTTATCTTAATCGAGATATTAATAAGGAACCAGCAGATCAAGTAGCTTTTGGAATAAAACACCAATTTTTTTAAAATTAAACACTATCTAAAGATTTGCATCGAAACGTTTATTTTTGATAGTGATTTTAATCACTGTCAGATATCATTATACTTGATCCAACTATGCCATGGCATCACTGTGCCGCGACCCCCCTGTGCTGGGTTTTTTTATTATTTATAATCAAATTTATAAACATAATTTGTGTTATCACTGATATGTTATCAATATATGATTATCACGAATATTTGATATATTCATAGATTAATTATGACGCTAATCTAAATGACAATAGGTCATGAAGGGTGTATCCTATTTTAATATTTATACTTATACTAATGAAATAAAAAAAAATTCACTAACTTATACATAATTATAATAATAAAATAATTTTTAAATTAATTTTGTTATGAAATATGTGAAAAAGTTAAAAATGATTGACTTCTGTAGTCAAATAACGATAATAATGAACAAATTAAAGTTATATCACTTGTGATTTATGTGATATATCAACATAGTACAGTTTACAACAAAGAATTATCAAAAATGTTTTTATGTGAAAATAGAACTTTTACAGCAAAGGACAAATGTTATTGGGTTTATAAGTTCATATTTAATATACAGACCACTGCTCGGTAGGGGCTGCATGGTTAGAACGCATTAATATGACACTATTGTGTGTCATAATCGGTTGGGAGTGGCAGGTAGAGGGAAGGAGGATCATTTTATAGTACTCAAAATGCTGGAGGGGTCCATACACCCAATGGCGCAAGTCCACAGAACGAGTAAGGGGCGTGACCGTACGGTAGAGTGCGTACACGCCCGTTATCAGCGACCGCGGACAGGTCTTTCAGTGGTAGTAGTTCATCACGCACAACATGTTCGGTCGGTACTCTAGTTCAAAACTGTTACTTCATCGAGTATATTAAATATAAAATATTTTTACGTTAGGAAACGGAAACTAAGCTCTTTATTAACGATCCGCCAAGTTTGATTTAAAATTTACGCGCTATGATGATGCTGCAGAATCCTCTATTTCAGGAGTACAACACAGCCTTATCACAACTTCTTGAATTGCATCAACAGCAAAGGCATTTATATCAGCAGCGACAGAACCAACAAAGGGGTGCTTTCCAAACGTATGGGTGTGTGGACGGTATTAGAAGTGCTAGCCGTGGCAGTACCGACTCTGATGGTGGCTTAAGTTCTTCGTCTCCTCGACCTTCTAAACCCTTTACTATCGATGCTATACTTGGGTTACACGGACCACCTGGTCAAAACTGTACACCTACCGCAGCTACTGCCTTGGATTTTTCGACCAGTGGATCAGCTACTGCTATCGCTATGCACTCCAAAAAATCTAAAGAAGGTAAATTAATCTCTTATTGCATTATTTATGATACTTACACAAGGGTAAATTAATCAATAAGTGTAATCTGTAATCGTTTTGAGTACATTATTACGAAATTTTCCTAGATTAAGAAATATTATCTTTAAATAAGTAGGTAATGTAATTTTTTGACGATTGTAAAAATACAATTAACTAAACATTATTCGGGTCTGTCTAGTTTTTATTTAAAAATAAAAGTCATACATTTCTTAGAAACTAAAGACTTTATGCACACTCTAAATAATGTAAAATAGTTAGTTACGTTCATTCTTAAGGGTGTCTCAGACCTAACTTACAATATTTATTACTTTTGAACCAATTATTATTTTTTTGGTTCAACCAACATTTTTATTGCAATATTTTTGTACATTTTTTATAGGAACATATAACATGTTCTGTTACAACATTCTGTATTTATTTACTGATCATAATTTACAATTTTGCAATTTTTAGTTTCAAAATAAAACTGAGTGAGTTTATAGTTAAGGGTACACGAAAATAAAACTGCGATATACTATTTTATTAATCGAGAAAATAATGTTTTAAATTTGAAATCGCCAAGAAAACTAAAATTTTAAGTAAACTAAAAAATTCAAACAGAGTTAGCAATTTGATATGTAGCAAACAAAATTAAATTATGTTTGTAATATTTAATGACACACTAAAGTATAATAAAAAAAAAAATATCCTTTTTTAAGATTTTATTATTATATTTTAATGAAAAAATCAGATGAGTCACCTAAACACAGAGAATAAACGAGCAAATTATCAAAAACATAAAAAGAACAAACCATGTAATATTCCTGAATTTTGGCATTTTTGAATTTTATCTATTAGCTGGTTGCCACTTAATTATAATAACAATAATTTTTATTTTAACATTTAAATATTTTTAATTTATAACATTTATTTATATTTTTTCTAAATTTTAGTTGATTTAACTGGTTATTTTCAGGTAAGCCAAAAGTTTCGATGGCTTTATCTCTTGACTAAACTACTTTTATCACTAATTCGATAACTTATAAATTACACCACAACAATAATCTTCATTTTTAAAAAGTCACTCACGTTGTTCTTTTTATTTATCCTTTGTGTATTATTATAAACTCACTGTGTTGAGATTTTTTCAAAATTGAGCGATTTTATAAAACAGTGTTATACAATATTAGTTAAGATATGGATCTTATGAAGCTGAAAAGATATTAATTTTACTATGATGTGTTTTTGCATGTTTGTTCATAATAATTCTCAACTCATAATAGGCCAATTGTGTTAACCAATACATAAAAAGAATCCAAGTTTAGTCTAGTTTGTGATATCTCTTTCAAATATCCAAAAGATCCCCTAAGTTTTAGTTATTTAAAAGAAAGTCTCAAAATTAGGCAGCCTTCAAAAATGACAAATCCCATACTTTTTTTGCATTTTAAATTGCAATAACTTTTTTAAAAACAGCTGGATCTTGATTCAGTATATATCTATGCATACCAATTTGATTTTTTCATTTCAACTTTTGAAGATATTCCAGTTGGGTAAGGTTCTTTAGATCTATACATTCTTTAAATCTAATGAAACTTTTTGCCACTTTTATCAATTTATTTGCTCAGTATTCTTGTTACTAAGATATTTTATATTATGACACAATATAATATAATAACGATTATAGTATGTAAAATTTAATTACATTTTTTAATGTTGTAAAATTAATAAACATCATTAATTGTTGCAGTACAATACACTTTACTACAACTATGTACGCCACTTTACTATAGTTATGCGGTATACAAAAGATTTGCAAGTAGTTCAATAAAATATCAATAAAACTTTTTGAAAAATTTTTTGTTTATCTTTTATTTAGAATGTAAATTTTATGCAATCGTTGGGAAAAGTACTTGTAATATTATTATACTATTAGAAGCTGCAACCCCACCCCCAGTGACCATAATTGCCAGAGAAAATTAACTTATAATGTCGCGAATTTATAATTCATATTTTTCCTATATATATAAAAAAAAAGGATTTGTTACAAAAGATTTGGGAATTTCTAAGTTTTTAATTAACAATTCAATAAAAATCGAAATAATTTTACTATATTTTATGTTAAAATAAAACTTTACGGTGGGTCGTTATACCACTACCTATGAACTTAAAAGGTTTCTAAGTATTTAGTTATTAGGAGGGTTATCGTGTTGTTATATATAATGGAAAATTAAGTAATTATATAAATAAACACACTATTAAGTAGCTAAAGACATCAAAGTTACATGTAAATAAAAACAATTCACAAAGGTTTGTTTAATATTTTTAAGGGAAGACTGTGTAACATTTTTTCTACAAGTTTCAAAGCAGGTTAAAATTGAAATATTTATCGTTTTATAGTTTATAAAATAAAAATTCGATATGATATTGTACAGTACATGATGCACATAAAAGATATTATCCAATATGGCCACTTTGGAATATTTTCGACCTATGTAGAAAGGGAATGTTTAGATTTTTCCCCTAGTTGAAAGTTTTGGCGGATATTGCCGTTATTGTGATTGCGGTGTGGTAAACAACTTTTGGCTGTCATGTACTTGTATTATACGATAGAAAAACGCGACTGGAATCCGCGTTCTCCCTCTACGCCTTCTTTGCCTTTAAAGACTTTTTTTATGCTCGTTACTAGCCCTCCTCTCGCAGTCGCATCACTTTCCGGTTTATTGTACTACATCATAGTGCGGTCGTAAACTTAAAAGACAAAGTTAAACGACATTATAGAGAGAGTTAGAGGATACAATGTAATAATAGTATGTATACATATATAAATTAGTGTCTTTAGCCAACAAAGTTGTTAATTACTCTTGACATCGTTATATACGGACATATTAACGTGCGCACCGTACAACAATAATGGAGCTGTGCTCGCCTCGGTCGCGAAGTAATGATGTCATAATAATTTCATAATAAATCCCCTCGGTTCTCTCTCCCTGTACACACAATAACCCGACGCCTAACCGCGAAGTTAAGTGTAACAAGCGCATAAAACGGCCGTCATCAATTTCGGACCGTGGCCGCTTTTCCGTGTCTTTTTCGGGCAGCAGCCAAACAGAGTTTAAGTATTCCGTTAATTAATAGGGGTGAACAGCTTCCACAAACACCGTTGATAAAAGGGACGAGCTGCGGTCCCGTTGTTCAAGTGTGCGCTTCGACTCATTGCCAATGATGTAATATTAATACTTCCAGACCAATGAACACACAGAACGCAGCGCACTCGAGTAATAAAAAAAAAATTAAAATATACATAACTCATGAAGCTTATTAATTGCCTGGCATTTTTATTCGATTTCTTTGGTGGGGACGGTGAGTCGGTTGTTTTTTTATTTAAACAAACACAGTCGAACACAGTTGCCCATCGCAACAAAATATAACAATTATTTGCGTGTGCGTTTCACCCCATTTCTATGCCAAAGGGTTGACTGCAGATTTCTTGTATATGCTGCTAATATGTACCACCATAAATCACCGAAAGACCGGTTATTTTAATATTAATATGTACATATTGTTTTCAAGGATTGCTGTGGTTTTATTTTTTGCATCCAGTAAGTGTGAGTTGTTAGTATTTTATACACCGCGCGTTGGCAGGACATTCTAATTATTACCATCATATGCATATCAATTATTAACGCTACAATAGTTTACAATGTGTATTGACAGCTAACACGCGTTACAGCCATTGCGAGAGAACGACAAACTAATACGATTGATGTGTAATTGCAACAGACACGACCATGTTAGTTTTGCGTCATTAAGTTTGTACAATGATAGAAATGAGTACATAACTATTGTTACAGATTGATAAATTCAATTGTCGTTAACGGAGTCTAATATTATGGTTAGACATAATTGAAACGCCACTTTTTTAAACTTTCTATATACATTTTTTTTAGAAATTCATTCTTATGAATAATTGATATTACTGAAAATAGTTTAAAGAATATATCAATGTGAAACGATATATTTAACTTGGGAGTATTGGCAAAGTAAAAAAAAACAANTAACAATATATTTAACTTGGGAGTATTGGCAAAGTAAAGAAAAACAAAAATTACACGTTCATATAACAAGATAGATTTAATAATTTGTTTAAACATTATATATTTTTAAACTATAGTAACTTAAAATAGTTATTCTTTTTTTAAATAAACACCAGAGGTGTTTAAAATATGCTACCTTAAGCACCGTTGTTCTTAGCGAATTATTATGCGTTAAAAATAATTCTCGACTATTTTACATCATTTCATAAAAATGTTTGTAGTTTTAATTAACTACACTTTTAATATTAAAATTTAATAAATAATTATTTAGAAAGACAAAAATAGTTCTATTTGTCTTTGATATTCGATAAAAATTTTTGCCCCTTTTTACATATTCTTTATACATTTTTAATGAAATTACCCAAAAATAAAGCGGAAATAATTTATTATTAACTTTAAAACATATATTTTTATATGCTTCATAAAAAGTTATCTTTAAAAATCATTGCTACTCTTTTTACTCTAGAACAAATTTAAAAACTGATATCAAATTTGAGATCAGTAGCCTTCAAAACAAAATTAATAGAAACTTTCAACATTTTGTTTGTTTTAAATTAAAAGATGTAATTTAAGATCAATTGATTTCAGATAATTGTGCGCCGAAGCAATGAGGTTAATAGAGATATGTTTTTTACTTGCAATTTGTTTTTTATTACAATAAATGTAAAAAAGAAAAAACCGTGTATATTGATCTTCCTAATACTTTTCTCTATTAAGATACTGAATTAGCACTAAAAATACGAGATAAGCAAATAGCACTTAGACTTCTGAATTTGCAATAATATGTAACAAAATTTTGTATTTATCTTATTGGTTTCTTAAACAAATTTATAGCTTATGTAGGCATCCCTAGGACTTGTNTTATCTTATTGGTTTCTTAAACAAATTTATAGCTTACGTAGGCATCCCTAGGACTTGTCAATAAAATAATATATGTGTAAATGTTAGAAATAATGACCACTAATTATTACAGTTGCGTAAACCCATTTTTAGATAAATTATATTTCGGAAAAGATTGTTTTATAGTTTTTTAAAAAAACCCTGCGTACACCATTTGTATCTATAATTCTCAACCAAAATCGTGAAATATTTGTTAAAAATTACCAAGATATGGTTAATACACAAAGTGATTCATTAAGAATAAGACAGTCGTTTACTTGGAAACTACTAAAAACTTTATCAATACAAATTATCTATAGAAAAATGGTTATAAATTGCTATACGCAATATCATAAGAATGTTTTATCTGATAAAAAATATAATAAGAACAAAACTGTTTAAAATTTTATTCTATCATACCATCAAACTAAAAATAAGGGTTCTCGCTAAAGAAAATTAAAATTTAAGTTAATATTCTTGAAGGAAAATAAAACATATAAATACATATTTTTGTAGAGTTTTTTTAATCAAAAAATATTTTCCTTCGCAAAAATTAAAAGTTTTTAATAGCTTCCAAGAAAATGTCTTACCTCGATAAATAACCTGTGTGGTATTGTAGGGATTAATAGAATAAAAGGTAAACATGGTAAAAAGGTTGAAAAACACTGATCTACAAAAAATTCATGGTATTCAATATAAATTTTACCACCTACGGCAACTGAATACACTATTCTTACCCTTAAATTTATATAAAATAAACATATACATAAATTTGAACATTGTTATTTTTACGAGTAGTTGAATGTATTTTGCGAATCATATATTGTAACTAAAAATAAAGTAGGTTGGGATGTTATTAACAAAGAAGAATGATAATAGCAACATCCGTAAAGACATAATAAATAAAAGTACTTTGTTTCTAGTTATTACTTGATTAGTGTAGTTAGTATGTTGAAACTAGTCTTACCTGGTATATCTTGGCTGCAAATCAAGTTCCACGGTATAGAGAAGAGAAGAAGTACTTTTGGCTTATTAGATATTAAATAGGAAAGACAGATTATTACATAATCGTATATTATAAACAATTAAATAGTTATTAAACAAGAACGCATTTTAAATTATACTATAGAGTTATATTAAAAAGGAAGACACCAAGTCACAATACGAGTATTAGAAAATAAGTAAAAACTGCAAAATGAAAGAAGGAGCAAAGCTAACTACTTAAGTGTGATCGCCAGAAGAGAAAAAATGAGAGTGAGTGTCCGACGGATATCAAAGGACGGACCAGAACCCAGAGGGCTCTTAAGTCTGTAATAATTAATTGAAGCAATAAAAATTTTATGTGATAATATTAAAAGAAAGGTGTGCTTTACAAGTGATACAGGGGGTGATTTGAATTCCATCATTGTTTGTTTAGGATATGTATGAGGTCATTTATGGCTTTATTCGGCAAGGATTATGTAAACAAAATTAATCACGTATAAGCGTCATCAGTACATCTCTGCTAAGCATAGGTGAAATGTATTGATTTCATTAAGTAATATAAAAGAATATTACAACATGTAATAATTTAAATAATTCTTTATATTCTAATAGTTAAAGCTAAAGAAAAATATAAATAATCTTAATTCTTCTGTACTATTAAATAAAATAAATACTCGCCTTAAAGTTCAATTTATGTTATAGATAAAATTGATGCATCGCTGAAAAAACATGGTTGTTCAGGAAAATCAAAAAGAGTAAGAACAATTTTCACTCCTGAACAGCTGGAAAGGCTTGAAATGGAGTTTGAACGTCAACAATATATGGTGGGTCCTGAAAGGTTGTATTTGGCACATACTTTACAGCTGACTGAAGCACAAGTAAGTAATTCACTAATACAAAATACTATGCGCATTATGTCGCTTAATTTCCCCAAAAAACAAGAACCGCTATAATCATTTCATTTATGTTACAATAATTCATCAGTCTATAAGTAAATGGCTTAATTTTCTGTAAAATAGGTTAAAGTTTGGTTCCAAAATCGTCGCATCAAGTGGAGAAAACAACATTTAGAGATACAACAACAAAGGTTAGCTAATATACATCAGAGAAATACACACGAAATTGTACAGGAGTGCGAAGATGATGACGATTCAGAAACAGATACAAACAATTGTTCGTTTTACTCTTAATCGTTAGATAGAGGTAAT